TCTAAAAACCCATCTTAAAATAGAAAGTTTTAAAAGGTCTAGGGATGTAGTTCAGTGCAAAGGCCCGGGGTTCAATCCCCAGTCCTGGGGGAGGGGAAATAGCAAATTTTGCCATGACTAAAGTAAGCATTTAGGTGAAGAAAATCTTCTATATTATTTACTTTAAATTTGCTAACAAAAAAAGTTTTGGGTTTGTTTTTTTATTTTGGTCTGGCAGTTGTACAGTATCATGGTTTTACTTTTTCTTTCATCTAACAAATCAGTGTTAAACTGATTTGTTAACCATGGTGCAATTTGTGTGTGTGTGGGTGTGGGTGTGGGTGTGTGTGTGTACTTGTTTAATGTGAAAAGTGTCCTAAGAGTGTTGAAACAAGTGTTACATCTGCAATAAAGAAAGCTAGTCACGTGTGAAAGATGTGTCACTCGATAAATCAGGATTTGTCATGACATTTTCATTTGTTTAACCAGGGACACCCTCAATGACACTCAATGAGAAGAGGCGCACTCTCTGCCACTGAGCTACTTCCCCAATCCTCATTATGTATAACTAATTCCAGTTTTGCTTGAGAAATATATTTATGGAAGTTTCCATGACATGGGAGCCTAAAATCTGTTATCAAGTAGGTGGTGACACAGAAAGAACCCTGGTGTTTTTAGTGCAAGAAGCTTTGTTTCTTGAATTAGGCCCACTGCACAACTGAGGTCCTAACAAAAAAAAAAAACAATTGACTTAAAGAGCTGGATCTTTGTTGGAAAATGTTGTTACTGTGATGTTAAATTGGGAAGAATGTATGGAAATCATTTTGTAATGCTGAATTGTAATATTGATAATGTAATATGGAATCATAAACAATTCAGCATTATTTCTTATGGTAACATTATTTGCTAAGGAAGCCAAATATTAACTTTTGCTAAAGATTCCATTCCTAAGTTGCATTGCTAAACATTTTATTTCTTCTAAACTGGTTTTCACCATAGCGTTTTCTTTTCTCTCTCTTTTTTTAAACCCAGGATTGGAGACCTGAATTTAAAGTCAAGTTAAAGCTCAACATTTGGAACTATGTTTAATTGAAGATGAGACAGAAGATGTCAGAACTTTTTAAGACTTGCAAGTTTTATTGTACAGTCAAAAATGAAGGATTCAGCTCGTCTCAAAGGATTAACCAAAATGGTCTTCTTAAAAATTCCCGATTTCTATGAAATTCTCTAATGACAAAATTTTCTTTCATTATATTGAACTACTCTTGGTTTCATCACAAAAATCTGATCGGAAACACAATTTGCTGAAGTACTGAAAATGAATTTCCAATTAAATGGGAATATTTGTATACTAATAGGATGCAATGTTATTTTACATTTTTTCCATGTTAAAGATTATTCTGAACGCTAAATCTTTTAAATAAATGATATTTTAAAAAATGAAATCCAGTGTGGTTGTGTTTGAGTATGTTATTTGTATATCTACTGCATATTTTAGAGAGTTTTCCAATCTCCTTTAACCATTTTTTATGCTACCTTCTCTGAGCTAGTTTGGGAGACATAATTTCTTTGGTTCAAGTTCCCATTGAACCAAAGTGCCTCAATTTCTGGTTTGACCACAGGAAAGTTCCTTAAATATTTTAAGCCCTGGTTTGCCCATTTGCTCAAATGGGATTGTTTACTTCAAGGAATACGATATCCAATGGCTGTTTGGCAATCACTGTTAAATGCTTAAATATTATTTTCCTGTTTCCTGATTTTGAATGCTTAGTAGTTAAGTTTATACAAGATCACACTAGTAAGAGGTGAAGTCAGAACCTGGTCCCAGATTAGTTGACACCAACGCTCACAATTTGATGGTATAAGTTCCCTCTTCAGAAAGCTGTAAATGACTTCACATTTGTCTAACTCGTCGATACGTTAATTTTTAGCACAGAATATGTTGAATAGAAGTGAGCCATTGTTACAGGTCCTTGTATGCATTTAAATTTTCAGTCGTTCATAAAATGTATTCAGAGAAAGGAGTACTGTTTAATTCCAGCCTGAACTCCAAAGGTTTTGTGTGGAATATACTACTTAACTGTAGAAGGCACATTTTTTTTTCTTTTAGTAGATAAAATGATTAGTATCTTTAAAAGGCCAAGGTGATAAAGCTAAATATGATTTTTTTGGGGGGGCTGTGGGGAGTATATTCAGGGACTTAGGCATGTTAAGCACGTGTTTAACCAATGAAATAACTCCTCCAGCCCCTAAATGTACATTTAAAATGTACATTCTAAATAAGGATTTTATTCTTTTCTGAGACAAGGTCTCAATAGGTAGTTCAGCCTGGCCTTAAACTCCCTATATAGCCCAGGCTGGCCTTGACTCATGCTGTTGCAGGCAGCTGAATTAGTTAAAAATATTATAGGCAGTGAAACAGGAATGGGTCTTCAAAGGAGCCAGTGCATAAGCCCAGATACCTTACAACTGTGGGGGAGACAGACACTTGCTGCTCTGGGCCAGGCCTCAAGACAAAGGATCAAACAAATGCACCCACAACCTAAGGACTGATATTCTAAATAGTTCCCTATTCACCTGAGGAAACCAGGAGTTGCCATTCCAACTGGGGAAGTGTATTCTCTAAGAATGCTAGCTTTCTGCGCGACTTGCTTCCCCATTTGTCTCCAATTTAATCAATTTTACCTGAACTACTAATCTTATTGACTAACTATAGTTATGTCCCACCTTATGCCCAACTGCCTTGTGAATTCCGTTTTCCCCCCACCTTGAACCTATCTTGCCCCATGATTTTGTTCTATAAAAGTCCCTATAAAAGACAGTCTCTGGCAATCTGCTCGGGACCCCTTCTGTCTCTCTTCAGACAGAAGGTTTTTCTCTCTCAATAAATATATTCTTCTCTTAACCTCTGTTATTCCTAAAATTCATTCTTTAATTTTAGAGAACATGAACTCATACCAAACATAGTAAGTTAGGAGTGTCATTCCCCTATATCATTGCTGATCTTCCTGTCCAAGCTGTCCAAGAGTTGGGATTACTGGCTAGTGCCACCATACCCAGCTAATATAGATTATTCTTGTAAATTAACACAGTAGCTCCTGGATTTTGTAGAAAAAGACTGGAGAGAAAATGAGATACTTTCAGTCTTTGATATTCCTTTATATTCAAAATGAATTTTGGCAGCAACAGAAAATCCATTCCATGGCATATGGATTTATTAACAATAAATATTAATAATAAATATTTATTAACAATAAATAAACATATTAACAATACCTGTTTGCCAAGAAAGTTTCACAAAGTCCGCTTAGGAGCGTGATATCATATTCCAAGGTATATTTTGAAGATGGACCAATCAGATTTGCTAAAGAATTGGATAAGAGGATGCAATAGAAAAGAATCAAAACTGACCTCTAGGTTTTGGTTCTTAGGAAGGGGTTAAATGGTGGGGAAGAAAAGAGGAAAGAGGAAGAGGAGGAGGAGGAGAAGGAGAAGAAGAAGAGAAATAGATGGAATTCTACTTTTGAATATACTAGGCTGAGATGTTTATTTTACACCTGAGTGGAGCTGTTGAGTAGGCTCCTGGACTTCTAAGCAGAAGATGAGCCTGGATAAAGACATATGGAAGACATCGGCTGTAAACTAACAGCTGGTATTTAAAACCATGTAAGAGAACTGCAAAGAAGTAAAGAGAGCTGGGATTTGAGCCCACTGAGGGAAAAGCTGAGAGAAAGGAGTGATGGGACTTTGGCTGAATGGGGGAGGCAGTCCCAGCCAAAAGTATCAAACTCAGTTAAAATACTGTGTCAGCTCTACTCATGGTTCAATTTTGCTGGACAATGGACAGTTTATAAAGAACATCTCAAGCCTTATGGTTATATCAATTGCATCTTGATCAGAGAGAGGAGAAATAGAGGGAGGAAAAGATAGAAAGGGATAAGGCTTGAGGTACATATAAACTGTGAATTTAGCTTCACGATAAATTGAATTATTTGACCAAAAAAGCTGTCAAGTCTTGAATTAGCAGTTCCTGAATAAATTTTAGGTGTTTTAGGTGAGTCCAAATGCATGCTAGAAAAGAGAACAACACTAGGCGGTACGTGTAAGATCTTTGATTGCCTTGCACATTATTTAAGCTTACTTCGTAGTCTTTTTCTCTGGAACTTGTTTGAGCTATTTCGCAGGCCTCTACTGCATGTGTTTCCCCGTGTCTCTGCTCTCTTCTCCTACAAACATGGGGTGGGGGTGGAGAGAAACCAAAGACACAGAACTAATTGCGTTCCTCTCTGTTTGTAATTCACCTATCTTATGCCACTGTGTGTTATTTGATTCCATCAAGCTTTGAACTCCAAGTCATTGAGAGGCACATGTTACCATTTGCTCAAGGCAGGTGGGAGATCAGGTACTTAGTCACTGCTTTTTTTTTTTTTTTTTTTTCATTTTTTCATTCAGTGTTGGGGCTTGATCCCACCTCACATGTGCTAGGAGATCCCAGACATTTAGATCAAAGAGTATAAGGAAAGCGTATAGAAGAGGTGTGAGAAGAAATAGCCGTAGAGGACTGTGTTCGTTGGGAAAGTTTATAGGAACGAGGACAGAGCACAGACGCAAAAATAAACACATGGCTCCACTCTTACTACAAACCTTCCATTCATTACCGTTTTCTCGCTAATTTCTCCCATTGCCTCTTTAAACCTGAGACTGACTGGGTCTGACTGGCCAATCAGAGCTTAGTTTTCCGCAGTCGCGAGAACCTCCAGAGCCAATGACAGACCGAGGCTCTTTGGTGGGGTGAGACTTGCTGCCTGAGAGCGGAATCCAGAGAGAGTGCAAAACGATTGGGCGGGCCTGAGGCTTGATTGGCAGGTGAGCGATCGCCAGTTTTAGAGCGGAAGCGCCGCGGGAGGCGTGCGCGGGGAGGGGGAAATAGGCGGGGAGATGAAGCTGGAGTTAGCCAATGGATGATGCAGTACGTGTAGACGGAAAGGTAAGTCACCATTGACGGCGCGGATATAGCACGTGGGCGGGGTTTAGGTGCAAAGCACTCCAGGAGCCGCGTCTCTGAGTGTGTCCTTTTCGTAACGGTCCGCACCTCCTCCTGGCTTCATTCATTTCTTCCTTTTTTTTTTTTTTCATTCACGGAGGTAGTGAGGCCTGTTCAGAAGCCATGGAGAGCGTTTTCCCAGCTGCCGGCTTCCTGTACTGGGTAGGCGCGGGCACCGTGACTTATCTGGCCCTGCGCTTCTCGTACTCGCTCTTCGAGGCCTTTCAACTCTGGGGTGTGGGTAACGAGGCGGAGGTCGGCCCGAGGCTCGGTGAATGGGCAGGTGAGTCGGACGCAGCGCGGCTTCCCTCCTGCCTCGGCCCGGCCCGGCTAGGCCCGGCCCGGCTCGGCCTGTCCACGGCCCCCTGAGCGGTTCCGGGCTCAGCGCCGGCGCCCCATCCCTCCCCAGCGCCCTCTCCTTCCAGAGGCGCCGCGTCCCGTGCTCCCGCCTAGCTTGCGGGCCCCGCAGCGCCTGCCGAGACTGCTTGGGGTCTCAGGATGCCCAGATGCATCCGTGGCTAGACTCCCGGAGTCTCCAGGGCCCTGGAGCTTGCTGGACGCGGGGGAAGTGTGCCTTATCTCCCTGGGGCTGGTGTCATTAAAGCTATTCCGGCTGCGCCTTACCGTCTCAGTCTGCCCCTTCTTGAGTGCTTTTAAAATAAGAGTAAGAACTCCACGTGTTAGGAAGAATAGGCGCTTTTGATTTGTTAGGGTGAGGATTGGGAGATGGGAGTGTGGGGACACAGAATTTCAGCAATTCCGAATCTTGGAACCTTGTCTCTTCTAGTTACGTGTAGTCGCCCAATGTTTGATACAATTTACAAAGTTGCCTGAAAAAAAAAAATCTCTGCTAAACAATTCCGAAGTCCCAGTAAATAGCAAGAACTATTGCTTCCGCGAAGCGATAACTCCATAATACAATCAGAAATGCTTTTTGCAAAAGGACATTTGTAAGAAAAAGTAACCCCGCAGAGTGAATTAAATAAGTACATTTTGTTCCATCCAGTCGGAGGGTTTTTAAAAGTGAAGGACAAAAGTCATTATCAGAAAAGTTGGGAAAATTACTTGTTTGCCCTTGCTTTACCATCCTTTGCCTTTAAAAATTTCTTTATTTTTCTTGCTTTGGCTTTAAAAACAGGTGACTGTTTATATTTGTGGCTTTCTGATATGACTGTTCATTTTCATGTTTTGTAATTGAATGTTCAGTTCCCAAGTATTTTTATTGAAGTTTGGTGTCTTCAGTGGTTGCTTGTAGACTAAATTCAAGTAAGATACCCAGATAATGTTACTTCTTGTTTACTTTGTTCAAAAGCATTTAAACAACTTAGTAAGAAAGTTAACCTTTGGGACTGTAACATAAACAGAATATTTTAAGTAGAAATGGCTTTGTGAGATCTTTGTGTCATTTGACACAACTTACGGAATAATACTTTTCACAATCACTTGTTATGCTTTGATAGTCTCTGAAGGGAAAGTGCTCAGTTTGATTTTGATCAAGATTATAATTTCATAAGTGACTCACCCAGGTTGGAAAATATGACTAAAGAATTTGGCAACAGTTGCACAAGACAGTAAGTCATGGAGGATCAATTATCAAGATAAAATTTGTAATTTTCTTTTCTTTTTTTTTTTTGTCTTTTTCATTTTTTATTGGTACCGGGGATCGAACTCACGACCACCTGCTTGCAAGGCAGGTGCTTATGCCACTGAGCTAAATCCCCAGCCCCAAAATTTGTAATTTTCGAACAAAGACTACTGTTAATAACTTTTTTTCTATTTAAAACTGACCATAGTGACCAGTAACTCCTATCTATGTGACTCTTTAGTGAAAGGCAAAGCACAAGTAGCTCTTGGATTGAAAAGTTTTAACCCCAGGGGAAAGACAATTGGTAAACAAAGAAGGGTTTATAGAGGTTTGAGAAATGAAATTTGAACAAGAACATTGTGATAGCAGAGAGGATTGGGGTGTTATTGTTGAAGTGAAATACTGTCAAGTCCGATTTTCCCTGGATTACTGAGAAATCTTTCTTAAGCAGAAATAACCAATTATTTTTTATAGCATTAAACATGATCTGGATCTCCAAAGAAAATAATTTTTTAGTCGTGCCATATTTAGGGAATCTTTCAAAAACAAAGAAAATAAAGATTAGCACATTTTAGACAATTTTTTTTGGTATGGCAGATTGAGCTGAAATGGTTTGAAAAAAGAACTAGCAGAGGTGACAGTTGAATAATTAGGGTTAAATCACGATTAAGAAATAGATTATTTGTTCAGCCGGTTACGATTTTAGAACTTCTATTAGTAAGTAGTACTCATAAGTGTTCTCCCTTACAAAATTGCTATCTTAATCTCAAGTCTGTTTATTATTTTTTTTTTTTTAAGTCTGTTTATTCTTGTGCAACCTTCTTTGAACAAATGTTAGTGACAGACAACATTAGGGAAGCTTTCCTTTCTTCTGACTCTGATATCTTCCTTTTCATAATAAATATTTTAAAGTATTGCATAGTAATGTATGTTGCATTGATAATATATTTTTATTCTTTCTGTTTGTTTTTGGCAGTGTTGGAGAGCAAGATTAGCACCATGTGCATGTAAGGCAAGTGCTCTCCTGGTGAGCTACATGCCCAGCCCTCCTTATTCTTAAATCTCATGCGAGTATGTTTCATTGTTCCTCCGATTTTAGTATCTGAAGGCCAGGGATTGTGGATCCTCTTTTTTTACATTTCCTATGTTAACTATCACATTGTTAAAGTGTTAGCTCTTCTAAACATGAAATGACAAAAAATTTGGTGGGGAGGGTAGGGGGGTGGGAGGGGGGGTGGGTGTTGAAATTCAAGTATGCTTTGTAATCAGTGAAAATATTCTAGGCTACAGATTCCTTAAGCTAGTTAGATTTTTAAAGCGGTACACTCATTACTTGTCTCACTTTCCTTCATCTCCTCAGTGTTCTGTATTCTCTCCAGTAACATTCCCACGCCAGGGAACCTTGGTTCCATTGGGCCCCTAATAAGTGCGTTTAGCCAGTTTAAAGAGTGAAGATACTTGCCCATCTGTCATTGTCACAGGGATACTGTATATCCTAGAACAAAGCTATCAGGAGAAAGGGGAGCTGCAGTGTGAAGATCTCTGTAGCAATCAATCAAAAGAAGATTGCTGGTAAGTATGGGCAGTTTGTACTGAATAAGGGAAGGGACAGTTACCATTGTAGAGCCACGAAGAATGTAGTCTGTGGAACATGGTTTGAGCACAGGTAATTTGCACTTGTGTTGTTTCCATCACTGAGTTCATCTAAAATGACTGCTATTGAAGTAGAGTGGATAGATACAGAGGCAAAGAACTCACACTTCCAAAGTCCTGATATTTGTAACTTTTAAAATTTGATTTAATTTAATTTTTGGCACAGGGTCTTGCCGTGTAGTTTGAGCTCTCCTTGAGTTTACTGTGTGTAGCATAGGCTTGCTTGTGTCAGTTGTCTGTCTGTCTCAGCTTCCTGAGTGTTGGGGTTGTAGATGTGTGCCTCGGTGCCTGGCTAGGTTATTTGATAACTTTAAACACAATGAACACAGATTTTTAGTTTTTAATTTTAGTGCTTTTTAAGTTTTAGCGTTTTTTCCAGGTAGCAGAGTAAAGGATCCACTAACCATTTAGTGAGTTCCATTTTTTAAAAGCTTTATTGAGATAAATTTCAACTGTACAATTTACCCACTTAAACTGTACAGTTCAGGATTTTTATGATGTTACAAGGTTGTGTAGCCATCCTTAGATCTGATTTCAGAATACTTTTTAAAGGAGGATACCTTTTACAGTCTTTTACCTGTCACTGTCACTGCCTAATCTCTATTCACTCCAGTCCTATTCAACCATTAATTTACTTTTGGTATAGATTTACCCATTCTGGACATTTCATATAACTTGAATACTTTAACATGCTTAGCATAATGTTTTCAAGGTCCATGTTGTAGTGTGGAATCATTTTTTATTGCTGAATAAATGCCCTTCTGAGGAGTAAGGTTTGAACCTTTGCCGCTGGGTTTCTGCTCTATGCATCTACACAGCAAACCGTTAAGATGTTGCAGCTTAGGTGCTGGTGAAACTCCCATGGTGGCTCCCGTGTTTTCATCTGGTTTTCGGGGAAACATGGTGGCTCCCATGTTTCCCCAAAAACCAGATGAAGGTGGGCAGAGAAACAAACTTAGTCTTGTGAGTTGTTGACTACTTGTTTGTTCTGCATTTCAGCATCCAGAAAGGAGTCCATGTGGCCAAATAGGTCAAGTTCTACAACTTGGAGTTAGCAGGTCAGCCTTAAAATACTAGTACTGTTAAAGGCTGTGAAACCAGAAGACCAGCTGGGAAACCAGACCTAAAAGCAAGCCTTCATCCTTGGACCAAATGAGAAAGTTTTCCTGGACTTAGACAGTACTCTGTACTCTCCCCTCACCCACGCCCGCCCTGTTGTCCTTGCCCTGTTTTTTCTCTTCTTTAATGTTCAATCCCAACTCCTCTGTTTAGAGGTCAAACCTGAAACCGTGAAAACTCACATCTAGACTTGAATTCTAACTTCCCTATTTACTAGCAGGTTCTATAAGATTGTTGTTTAGGGTAAATGAGAACATATTCTATGTAAATCAGGTGGTGCAGCGTCTGTCCTGTAAGTGCTTACTGACATCTTTTTATTAAAAATAATATTAGCTTTAGTAGCCTCATGCTCCAGTCATTTGAGCTGATTGTCAGAATAAGACTTGGTAAGGAAAAGGAAGAGAACTGTATCTTCAAAAAACTTTGGAAACCATTGCAACTGAGTGTTGAGTTTCAAAACTGATTTTTTTGTTTGTTGAGTCGAGGGTAATTTTTTCATCCACTTCACAAAAACCTGCCAGAAGATTTAGATGATGAGATTTGTAAGTTCAGAATACATGGATAAATGGATTTGAGTAGGTCAGTCCTACTGCCATTAAAGGCTGTTTACAGAAGAGGGTAAGTTAAAACAATTTTAAATAGTGGAGCCGTCATTTCATTTTCTGTGTTACCAGCACAGATTTAAAATACAGCAGTTCATCTGAACATGGTCCGAGAAAGAGAGATGAAGGTTGAAGTAGCAGGGAGTGAACCCTCCCTGGGCCCGGGGGAGAGAATGCTAACACTGTTCTGTTGTCTTGTCTCCCACGCACGCACAAACACTGTCATTGGATGCCTGCTGTGCGCCTTCTAAGAGCAGCAGCAGGATGTGGGGAAAGGCAGTCTGATGAGTGGATTGTCGCGGATGGACGGCCCCTTCTGTGACA